GTGCTATGGAGCAGCTGTCTGTTGTCAGAAAGGACACATGCAAGAAGCTGGTGTACAGTGCTGTAATTCTCCACTCACTCCTAACTCAACTGGCTTTTAAGACCATTTTAAAAATATTGCTGGGGTTTCTTAAAACAGCTGAAACAGAAAATGTGTTCTTATAGCTACAGTTGTGTATTTTGTTTGCTTTTCAGCCCCCTGTGACTAGGATTTTTGCATTCTTAAATGTTTTTTCTAGATTTCTGCAATAAGTCTTATAAATTGAAAACATGGATTTAATAGCACAATAATTTATTTTCCATATACTTTTTTTCTGAAAAGTTTTGTCATACTTTTATTAAGGTACTGTTGAAGTGGCACAGTTTGCATTTATTTAGAGGATTTTCCATTGCTCTTTGTACTCTTAAGTTTAGAGGATTTTTAGCATCTCTGCTAAGTTATGAGAATGTTGGTGACTGTATTATAACATACTTTTTCCTCTAAAAATGTAATATTGCTGAGGTTATTCAAAACTTACTTAGCGATATGAGAATCACTGACAAATTAGTCAGAAATAGTGGTCATGTTTTTTCATAGCTTAAGACCTACACTAAATGGCCTTTTTTTAAAACAGGTAGCATGTTTTCAAACATTGTGCTGCTTTGGATGATGATGATAAATTTAATCTTAACTAGACTGTGCTCTCCTTTACTCTGGGCAATTCAACAAGTTACTGACTGTTAGTTTTGTGTGGATTTGTCTTTGAAAATTTTATGATCTCCATTTTCTCTGTAGCTTTTGAATCGGAAAGACAAGACCACCTTTGAGAAGTTAGACTATTTACTGTCTAAGGAAGATAATTATAAAAGGACGCGAGAGTACATCAGAAGCTTAAAAATGGTTCCTACAATTCCATATTTAGGTGAGTGTGAACAATTACCTTATTTATCTGTAGTTCATTGACAGATGAGTGCTAATGTACCATGTTGGGCACCTGAAGAACCCTGTATGTAGAAGAATGGTTCAATACATTTCATATTTGGGAAAATTAGATCAGGTTGAGATTTTTTGGCTATACATATGTTTACATACTTTTGGAAGGAGTTTTTCTCTCAGGTGCTGAATAAATATACATGTAATTCAATGTGAAAATGTATTAAAAGGGAGACCTGCAATTAAAATGCTGTCCAGCCTTGATATTGTCTCCTTTTCTTCTGTGACGTGCACAGAGTAGCCATTTGATGAATTGGTTTTTTGGTTGGTATTTCACCTAGAAATATTTCTGCACAAAGGTTATTGTTAATGAAAGTAGTACAATATAATGAGCGATTTTCTGGCTTTATTAGTGATTTAGTCAGATGCTAAACTGCAGCTAAAAAGAATAAATGTTTTTAAATTGATGACCCTGGGTAACAAGAGATCAAAAATTCTGCTTAGCCTTTCTGTGCCAGAATTGCTATCTGTATTGCTAACCCCTAATGCCTCAGTTGATTTATCTTCTGTGAACATTTGCACTCTTGCTTTAAGCACACATAAACTTGCATGTGCAACACCCAGCTGGCAGGATTTCTTCAACTCTGTCCAGTACCACATTCTTTTGCTTGAATTGAACATGGTAACTTTTACCTTCGCTAGATAAACCCTACCTTGTTCCTTACACAGCTTGAGACTACTCCTGACATTATGGACTTCAGTCATTATCTGTTGCCTTCACAGTAAATCTTCAATTACCTCTCTTCCAAAAGGAAGAGTCCTTGGATTACTTGATCCTGTCTTGTACAGATGCCACTTGGCATCCTTGACAACTTGCCTGGGCAGCATTTCAGTCCTGTATCCTTTTTTTAGGGGAAGAGGGTGCACATGAAGTGTACTGCCTGCAAAATTTAAGATAGAAATGCAGGTTATATTTTATACAGTTAATTCAGGAAGCTTTTATTTAATAAAACTGGCCACCACTCCTAATGGCCGTACTTTTAAAACTGTATTGAAAGCTTGGTATCAGTTACTGAAACTGCTTTGTAAATAATTTCAGATTTGAATGAATATTTAGCTTATCAAAAGAGAATATTCAATTGAGACTCGTTTCAGTGAATAAATGTCTTCGCAAGGAAAGACAGCATTACTTACAGAACAGCTTCTTTATTTTGTGTAAATGAACAAGTAGACCAATAGATGACTTTAGGAGTAACTACTGAATATAAAACAACTGAATTGAGAATGACCAGGAGTGAGGACTTGCAGAGTTCTTGGGAATCCTGTTTGATGCTGTAGAGCCTCTTCTCTCACTGCAAGAAATTTACTTGGTTGTGAGAGAAAGGTTCTTATTTCATCTGTGGAAGCCTGAGATTGTTTGATATGAGCTAGAGGACGTACTGGGAAATTAAAATTGCCACTGAAGTTTTCCAGTTACTCTGGTTTATAGAATTAGCTCACAGTCTTGCGTAAGAATTGTTTTAATACTACCCAGTTATTACAAAATCACTCCAAGCCACTTTTATACAAGATTTAAAATATTTCTGAAATGAACATGTGTATTACAAGCCTAATAAAAGACTTGGGTAACGAAAGGAAAAAATCTGCATGTTTCCTTCCTAATCCAACTTGAATCTGAAATTCCTTCTGGTCTTTAGCCAGTCTCCTTGAGACTTATGAATTCTCCTGCATATGTTGTATCTTGTTTCATACATGAGACCCTCTTCCTGCTGATGGCAAAGACTAGGCAGTACTGCTCTTCTTGTAAAGTAAGGCTTTCCCTGCATTCTGAGAGGTGCAGTTGGACATTTTGTGTAACCAGATGAATACAGGAGACAACTACTGTTACGTTTCCAACCTCAGGCTATATATGAGAGACTAGTATTTACTGTGTTTAAAAGTACCTGTTAAACATCCAACAGTTGTTTTGTTTTCAGACAGGTCTTTCAATTTTTAAAATGGAGAGAGAAAGAAAGAAAAAAACAAATCATGAGATTGGCAAGGCTATGATGTGAACTGTTGGAAGTGTTTAGCCACAGTGTGATTTAGGAAAAAATAGCACTCACATTGTTTTGAAAATTCATGGCTGTAATTGCTTGTTATAGTGTTTTCTTGTCTTCACTGCTGGTGATCTTTTAGATTGTCTCTGTACGTCACAGAACAAACAAAGTTGGGTATGATCTTATAATCTATAGATTTGTTGCACTGTTTGCTTCTTTTCCACTTGGAATGTAACTGTGGGGGTAATTATGATAACTTTGAATGATAATTGAACAGTTTCAGGAAAGAATTTTTTGGAAATGTGTATACAAAAGAATAACTAGTTGTCTTCTCAGGTTACATCAATCTTGTGACAGCCTTTTGTCTAAATGCTATAGGTGGAGCCCCATTGTTTCATTCTTGATACATAGATAATGTATTAGTTTGACAGCATCTCCTTCACACTTCTGAAAAAGGTAGAGATATTTCAAAAATTCAGAAGAGCAATGTCAGTTTCCTATGGCACAGCTTAAAATGGAGATTTACAGGAGAATTGCAGTTGCTAGTTATCTTCTCTATAGGGCTGCAATTCTCTCTTGCATAAAGTCACCTAATGTGCTTTTGCTAATGATAGGAATGGTATCATTTTCTAGTGAAGTGTATGGTATGGAATTTTTAGACTGCAGGGTTGCCAAAGATGTACATTTGGGGAGCAATGAAGTAATGTAATTGAAAGCTTTGGAAATAATTAGGGAAATGGAAAAAACTAAGGCCTTTCACAGTTTGTAGTAATGTCATCTACTACAGTAGGTGGACCTAGTGCACCTGTTGTGTGTGCTTTTTGTTTTTTTTTGAATAAGCATAGTGAAATCTGTGGTTCTGCCAATGTACTTGCCAATAATTTCACAGTATAAGTTCCAAATCCCTAATGTTTAATTACTTTTGATGTGCCAGGCTCTGTGTTTAAAATGATTTTATGCAAATATACTAATTTTATGTAAAAAATTTATAAGTTCTTTTCTCACATATGGTATCTCTAGGTAATCATGGACTGACTTCTGTGCATTATCTTTTTTAATTACATGGATGAGTATCTAGGTAAATGACTCACCTTTTAGGTAAAAGGTTAAGACATATTATTATTTTAACAAAAGACTGTCAGCTTGAATGCGGGTTTAAAGCCTATTTTGAGTGTATACTATGAAGATGCATTTCCAGCCATATCTCCAGCTACAGAAGAGCAACTGTAATAGCTTTTCTAGTGGATGCCTCATCTTGAGATCTGCACAGTGGATACCTGAACTTCTCTGTGTTCTTTCCTCAAGCCAAGCATGAAGTAGCCTTAATGCTAGTAATTGTAAGAGTATTGCAGCCAGGCTTTAGGGCCAGTAGGTGCATTTAATATTTCTAATCTAAAATAAAAATCTTTTCCAGAATTGAGTAGATAACCCCATGGAAGATAAAGCCTGAATACTTTTTGGAAAATGTGAGTGTTTCATATAACCCTCAAAAAGTTGCTCCTCCTTGGGCTGTGTGGAAATTCTGTATTTTTTTCAGGTGAAAATTGTTTTGCTTTTTTATGTTACAATATTTCAACACTTCACACACATCAACAGTGGTTGCATATCAGAGTTTGTTTGAATCAGAGGCAGACTATTGTGTAGTAATCTCAACTACAACAAGATGAAATCTCAACATGTCAAAATAACATTTGGTACTTTATTAAGGGTTACAATATTACAGGGGTAATCTAATATATTAAAAACCCTACTTTGAGTTATATACAGCACATGCTACATCACACATCATACTGTGGTAAAGATGTGATGAGGTAATAAGGGAAAAGTATGCAAACACACACAAACACTCAGTGTCATACAGGTTGACCAAAAAATATGTTGAACGTCTAGAGGCTTTCACTCTGCCTCTTTTATGCATTCTTTAACTTGTATTTTTTGTAGTAGTTTGTTTGTTTGTAATGGGTGTGTTGACAATGTGTTACAGAAACCTATCTCAGAAGAATATTAGAATTACTCCAATAAGTATGACTGACCTCTAAATATGAGTAAATCTGTTTAATAATTTGACAGTAATAATTGTGAAATATGTTTAAAATAACTTTTTTGCTATGGATAAGTTCTCTATATAATTTTTTATCTAAAGGCTAAGGTTATTAAATAGCTTATAAATTGGTATCCATCATTTGCCTGCAAAGTTGGATAGACCCTTTAATTTATATCCAGCCATTTCTGAATACAGAGGCTACACAGCAGGTAATCACTGAAGTCGGGTACAAAATACCGTAACAGTTGTGTAGTATAACTTGTTGGGTATAGAGCACAGAATACCTATTATAAATCTGGATTAATTTCCATATGCAAGTAGCTACTTCATTTTGGTAAGAAATAATTAATGTTTTTAATCTAAAATATTTGAATTAATGGTGAACTTTTCTAGGAGCAGATTATTTAAATGCACATAGGGAAGGGAAAAGGCCAGATTTATCAGGACAATAATGGTTTGAGTATCTGCTCTCAAAACAGAATTATATAGTTCTAACTTTATTCATGGTAGTTAACAAAGATTACCTAATCATTACACTAATGTACATATACCAGCTACCTACTTCAAAGGATATGATTCCTGTGTCAAATGATTGCTTATAATAACAATAATAAAACTCTTACTGTACAGTTTGTAGTATTTCTTGTATTTGAGAATATTTATACATAACATACAAAAATACTTAAATGTGGTGGCAAAATTTTTATCATCCAAACTTAATTTACAGGGAATAAAAACCAGGAAGTTTATCTACAGTTTTCATCTAAACTGCAAGTTCCAATAGGACAATAGGACCAAGAGGTGTTCTGAATGTTATTACAGTTCCTTTTCTTCGGCTCTTTTTCTGGGGATGATTCTTGAAAATATAATATACAAGCCCTCATACGTTATCAATAAATGTACAGTATCCTACATTCCTCATTTCTGAAAAGATAATTTCAGGTAATAAAATCATAGCTTTATGTGATTTTTAGAACAACAAAGCAAACCAAGGGAAGAGTTATTTCAGTGAAATGTGTTAGGGTTAGGTCTTATCATCATAACAACTTTCTTTAGTGAATATGATCCTCCCCGGAATTCAGCCCAGTAAACACCATCCTGATATCGACTGCGGTAGTGTCCTCCACGATACCAGACTCCATTGAGATTTGAGTGAGCACATGCATTGTACCACCATCCTCCCTTCTGGTAATGAGCACAGTTACCTGCAAAAGAAAGCTCCAGTTCAGGCTGAGAAGTAAATGAAAACTCTTAAAGCAAGCAAGCAAAGTACCAGACTTCACTGTCTGGATGGTTGGCTGGTTGATCTGGGCTTTTCTTAGTATGTTTAACATGTAGGTATCCTGTGGTACAAAGTGAACTTGGGCTTCTTCATGAACCAGCTAAGTAGTTAGGTTCTACAGACAGAATCTTTTTTGTTACTTTCTCTTGCCTGAAAAATCAGTGGGTGTTACTGTGTCAAGTAACCATTCATAGTGTATTTTACAGACCCTTGTCTAGTGTAAAAACTTTTAATTTTGGTATTAGTATATACAAGGGTTGACACATCAGTTTGTATTTCATAAGGTACTAATTGACAAATCCCTTTGTAAGTGCAATTTTTTTTTTTTTCTGTATGTATGACCATAAGTATTTTTCCTTTTTCAAAAGAGATAAAAGGGGGTGGCAGGGGACAGGGATGTAAACGCAAAGATGGCAAGGCAGCTGAGAGGGACCTCCTACCTGTATATACGTCGTGGTCCCGGTCTAGCGTGGTGAACTGTTTGCCGTTGTGCCAAGTGAAAGAATCTCCCGCGTTGCCATTGTAGCGTCCCAGTCTCAGCTTGTAGTACTCACTCTCTGGCTCCAGTCTGAAGCTGGCATACTCAGCAAATACTTTTCGACCTGACCAGTCTTCCATTGTTATGAGCAGTTTGTAGTTGCCTTGATTTGTTAACCAATAAATGTTTTCTAATCCAAGCCAATATTCTCCATCTATATTACCAAATCCTTGCTGTAAAGGAAGCAAGAGAAGCAGGTTAATATCCTGCATCTGTGTTAGTGGTAAATCTGAGTGTATTCTTAAGTAGAAAACTGCACTAACTTATTTTATAGAGACTTCCTCTTCTGGAAGGGTAAACACACAAGTTCTTTTTCAAGTAGGCTCTTGGCCAGACTCTAAAACCACCCGTTTAAATTAACTTTATCAGTAAGTTCTAGAGGGGGGGAAAATATTAATTGGCTCTCTTGTCCTAACCTTGTATGTTTCCCAGTTCCTGAAAAAGTTGACAGAGCCGTCCAGCCGTCTCTGAATGACAGTCCAGCCACCGGGGTCATGCCGCTGGTCACACCAGACCTGCATAAGCTGGTTTGTGTTTTCTGGTTTTACAAGATAGATGGAGCTTGTGTCATGGCCGTCTTCTAATGCTTGTAGACAGTCTCTCCAGGGCCCTGTGTCAAAACAGAAAGGCTCTGCATCAAGCTGCCACTGAGCATTTCTTTAAAGCAGGGCAGTATTTGAGTTGGTAGCTTTTTGTACTAGTTTGGTTTCGCTGAATAGCATATTTGTTTTTCCTCTTATTAAAGGACGAGTATCCACCAAGTGTTTTCAAACCAATCCATTTATTGTAACATTATTTCTGGAACATTTCATAATGAGTTACTGGTAAAGGTAGATTTTGAAAAAGAAATACTTTTAAGGCAGCTGCACTGGTACTTTTACCATCAATTATATATTCAAAGAAACTAAATAGGAATGACTGCATAGATAAGTAAGAATTTCCTTTAGAAAACAAAACAGTAAGTTTGACCTTGATTCTGTCTTTGAGAAATTTAGCTTTTTTGATCCCCAAAAATGTCACTGGCACAGGCATTAACTGTGGAAGCAACAACATAAATTCAGGCTGTAGGTCTTACTGCTGCCACCTTAATTTCTATGTTACCTTGTAATTTATTAAGATTTTTTTTTTCTTTTTAACATAGGGTGCTTGTGAGAGAAACTTTATATAAATGACAGGACTCAATATACTTTGAATTCACAGAAATTGCAGTTAACATAGTCTTGTTTTCAGTTCAAGAGAGTCTATAAAGAGCTTATGCTTTTTGAAAGTATCTTATATTCCTGTTTTTTTCAATAAATTTTCTCCAGTGGTATAATAGATTGTGTTAATGATTCTGAGATATTCAGAAATATCACCTGCCTTGATTCCTCAGCAGAAGAGTGAAGTCAACAAGAATCACCAAGATTAGAGATTAGAGTCCTTGGATTGATACTCCCTGCCCACTGAAGGAGTAAGGCTTGTCAGATCGTCTGACTAGGAGCCTTACTGAAGCATACAATGCTATCAAGAGTAATTTCTATTTTAAATTATTTCAGTCCTACCGTTTTTCATATTCATTGTCCAACACTACTAATGGTACTCAGCAAATGCGTTAGAAATAAATTAGTTTTATAGAAATAATCTCGGTGTTTTGGAGATTAAAGCACTGAGGTTTTGGTATTTTTAACTATTTTAATCAGTAAGTCAGTGTACAAAGAGGAGTTCCAAGTCTTTGTTCTGTGGATGCTGTGTTCTTGTTGCCTCAGTCCTAATCAGAGACTGTACCTGGAGCTGTTCTTATAAGACCCTTCTCCATTTCTTTTGGGGCTGTTTAGATTTCTGTCAGTTAGATATAGATGCCATGCTCTTGTCACACCATTGCATGGCTCTTTATGAAAGGTGGGGAAAAAAATGTTAAACAAGAGCAATTTAAATTATTAGTGCTCATTATTTTATCACAATGTGTAGTGGCACTGACTAAAAACAAAAAAGTAAGTAATTATTGAAGAACTTCTGAATAGTCAAACAGCTTTGACCTTGTCTTTGTAAAAAAATATATAGCAGTACGCAACGTAGTATTTACACTTTCTTTTATGGCACACAGCAGCAGTGCTCTACTCCACTGAATCTTTTTTCCGAAAGTGATTTAAGATGAACTATTAGAAGTACATCAAAGTAGAATTTGCTACTACTTTTTAGTGACAAGTACTTTTTTGTCAGGTAGTAACCTTTTCAAAATTTTAGCTAGGGTATTTTCCCATGAAAAAGTGAGAGCACCCTGACTTTCAAGGGAGGTAGTTTTGATAAAATTGTCTTTAGGGAGTTGTAGAATCACAGAAAGGCTTGGGCTGGAAGGGATCTTAAAGTTTGTTTCATTCCACCTCCTTTCCACAGGCATGGACATCTTCCACTAGACCAGGTTGCTCCAAGCCCCATCCAGCCTGGTCTTTGACACTTTCAGGAATGAGGCATCTACCAAAAAAAACCAACAAAAAAACCACAACCAGAAAACAGTGTGAACAAAGTTTATAGTGAAGCTGCTGAGACTAGTAAGACTGTAATAAGTGTGTGATAGAGAGAATACTGGTCTACTGCTTTTTGAGAAAGGGAGACTTTCAACAGATTAATAGAAGATATTTACTATTTTTCTTGTATTTCACTCCTGTTTTCATTGCACTAGTTGGCTGTGATCAGGTGCAGGTTTGCTGCACTATCTTGGGCAATTCTGTGAAAATACTGCTTTGTAGCAAAATGATGTAGAGACATATAGACTCAAGAGACTCAGTGCTTACTTGCTCAAGTTTCTTTCATTGTGAGTATTTCCATGGAGAAACAATACAGGGGTTGTTTGGTTTTGAACATGTGGCAGTTGCATTATTGGGTAGTCCTAAAAAGTTTGTTGATGTCCTTTGGAATATTTTGCAAATAGCCATGAAACATATTGAGTGCAGTTCCCCTGCATTAATCTATTTCAGTTAGCTCTGAGTTCAGAGATCTGTGACTCTCTATCTTTTTTCTGAAGAAGGTATGTGTTGTCCACACAGGGAAGAGCACTGAACACATACCTGAACTGGTGTGTGTTTGGGTTTTTTGTTTCAAATGGCGGACCATAGGTGAAAGTTATTTTGTTATCACATAGATCAGTTGATCTCTAATGTGATTTCACATCATCAAATCATGCTTGTGGCAGAACTCCTAAGACTCTTAATAAGGGCTGTATAATATCCTGTTATTATTCCACCACTTACTTCCTTTTGCTTCCGTCTACAGCACAAGTGTTCCATATAAAGTAAGGAGATACTTACTCCTTTTTTTAATTACACAAGCACATTATCAGATGCTATATCAAAAAACTTGTAATAATTTCATATGTTTACACAGTGTCAAACTCCTTCAGATGTCATGAATTGTAGCAGCTCAGTCTTGAGCAAAGTAAATAAGATTTAGATTACTTGAACTGTAAGATTTTTCTGAAAGTCCTTTATCTTATACATGTAATATAAATGATGGGTTTGTCTTAGCAAAGTAACATGAGAAAAATATGTGGGGCTAGAGTGTCTTAGACATTCATTGGTTTTTGGTTTTTTTTTTTTTTTCTTTCTTTCCGTGTTTCTACTACAGCATGTATGTAAAATTCACTAGCTAAATAAATACTGACTACAATAAAAACGTTGCCCACTGCATATTAGCATAAAATAATGTAAATGTATCAATAATATTACTTACCAGATGGTTTATCAGTTGAAGTTGGAATACTAGTAACTGCAGGCATGGTTGGTAAGGTAGGTGGCAGAACCTTTAAGTTCTGATCACTTTGAATCTCATTAGTAGATATCTGGTTATTAATGCGATTGTAAGTAGGAGGCTGGTACACTTTAATTGGTGGTTGTGGAGTTTGTGGCAGTGGCTTTATGGAGGGCATTCTTTGACAATGTTCTTCCAGCTGGGCAATTATTATTGTCTGATTGTTGGCGATTGACATCAAATGTTGATACTTGTGCTCTAAGTCTTTGTATTTGTTTGCAAGCTGCAACATGTCTGCAGTTTGGTTCAAAATCTTATTTTCAAGTTGAGAAAGTTCTAAGGCGTTGTCACGTTTTCGGATAATTTCATGTAATAGCTGCATGTAGAGTTGTGTGACACGAGAATTCATATTTCTGCTCTCTTTTCTTAACAGTTTAACTTCATTAACAATTCCACCATCCACCTCTACCAGTTGCTGAAGAGTTTCTATTTGTCTCTTTTGTTTAAGAAGTTCATTGTTAAGTAACTGTAATTCTTGTTTATTTACCCTGTTTTCAAGCAGAACTTCAGGCTCCTTAGAATTAACACAAATAGCACCTGTCACTCTCTGCTGAGGTACAATAAAGGTGTAAGTGCATTTGTCCTGTGTGTCACTGGAACGCCTATATCTATTCATATAAATGAATTCTTGAGCTTTTTCCTTGTCATTGCCTTCAAATTCCTGTGTTTCACTTGTAGTAACTCCCACAACAGTTACTAGTATTAAACAGATGAATCTTGTTGTCATCATGATCCTCTAGTTCCGGTCAAATATTCTTCTGCAAAGAATTTAGTAAAATCTGTTTTAAAATAAATTTAATAGTAATGAGTAGGAAATAAGTGTGAATTTACAAATTATCATCTCTTCTAAGACTTACAAAATAGTACATAGTAACTATTTGTACAAATGAGTTCCAGCGTCAACTTGTGTTGATTAAAGGGGACATCATGAGGAGTAGTTGTATCTTTCTGTGGTCAGAACTGTAGTTACTAGTTGCTAGTTCATCTAAAGCCTGCCAAGAACCATAAGAAAGTAAGCAATAAATACAAGGATTTTAAGATTCCTTTCTTCCAGGCAAATACCACAAAAGTTTCCAGGATTGGCATTTTCATTTAAATATTAATTACACTTTCCATTTTTTAGTTATAAATACAACCTTTTAAATGTAAACATAATGTAAGTTAATATATGTATTAATGCTGCTAAAAGTTCTAAAAATATCAGACTGTTAATTTGCAGTATTTTAGAACTGTATATACATTGCAAGACATACAGCTTAGGTGATATGTAACAATTTTACTTTATTCAGCAGTATTGAATCTCCATTGCTTTAAAAAAAAGGAAAAACTTATTTTACATTGGTCCTTAATAACTGTAAGTTAAAAACTCTACTACTCAGATATAATAGGCAGTAAAATCTGTTATTTTCTAGATTAGTAGAATTTATAACTGAAACATTTACTGTGACTCTCACTGGAGACGGTCTCTAAACTCAGCCTAGTCATCTCACTTCAGAGTCCCTTCTTGAAAGGAGAAAAGTAGCTGCATATGTGCATGGTGGACAGTGGCAATGCATGGTGATTTAAATCAGCTGGTAGTGTCTACTGGCATACTGCAAGAGTTGCCCTTCGGTGAAATTGCCCTAACTTAATTCTCCATGCAGATTCATATTCGAGGTGGACAGCTGAGGCCCTCACAATCTCTCAAAAAATAAATCAATACCAGAACTTTGTGGGCAACAGTAGTCTTGGAAATATGGGCTTAGCATTGTCACTGCTGCCAGAAATACCCTGTCACAAACCACTCTCTTATCAGCTACTTGATCAGCACTTTGACGTCATGTACTTCTAAAACCTTTTCATTGTTGATTTTTAATGCTCATGTGTATATGCAACCTAGTTTTCTTAAATAAAACGAATGAAAAATGCAGTGTTGGAGTTTTTTCAGTGCATAAAGTCTGATACTTTTAAACCAAGGTGTAGTGTTGCTGTAGCGTTATTTCTTTGCTTCTAAAATATTTCTCATGGAATAATCATTGAATATTTAAGTATCTATCACCTTACTGTTTGCTCATCTCTGGTACATTAGTTTTTTTAAATTGCATGAAATGGTGATAGTAACAGCTGTGAGAAACTGGAGTGAGTCCAGCTGAGTACACCCAGCATGGCTAGCTGGAGGCATGATGAATGAATAGCAGCAGAAAGAGAGAGGTTTGTGTAGCCTCCAGGTGAGAAGGTAAAGAAAGACACATGTTCAGCTACTTAAAGGGTGTTTGTAAAGAAGATAAATTCCTTTTGGAAGTGCAGTGAAAGTATATGGCGGATACAAATTACCTCAGGAAAAAAATGGGTTTTATTTGAACTTCACTGTGAGGGTGACTGAGGACTGAAGCAGTCACCCAAATAGGTGGTAGAATCTCCATTCCTAAAAATATATGAAGTTTTGATTTAGGTAAGGCTATGAGCAGGCTGATCAAATGCTGAAACTGGACTTGCTCTGTAAGACGAAGATAAGGTCCCATCCAGTCTAAACTGTTCTATGATTCTAGGCAGCTGCAGACTTTTAAGACTTTTTTTTGGTTGTTTTTTTTTTTTTTTAATGTCAAGCTAGTGCTGGATATGCATCCTGTATTATTCTTACTGAGAAAAGATATGGTTGTCATTTGTATTTTTCTGTTTTTATGAAATAAACAATAGATGTTTCTGCAAAAGATTCAAAGTGACTAGAACTTAATCCTTCTTAAAATTTTTTGTTATATACTTTTGCCTCAGTTTCTTATTTGGAATAAACTAATTTTAATTTTGCAAGTAGAAAGGAGTTGTGCTGTACAGGACTTTTCAAAAATCTTAAAAACATGTCAGATAAAAATCTGGAGTTTGACATGGTTTCTGCAAGTAAAGCAATGCTATTTGGAGTCTTGGAAAATAGGGAACATAAATTCACCCCAGACAACTTTAACTTGCATAATCAGCATTTGCACAGCAGGTCACACTTGGAAAACCTGGAAGTTTTCCAGGCCTCCTGTTCCTGCACAGATGACTGGTTTCGCAAATGTTTCTTACATATAGGTGTAAAATAGTTTTATTTTGCTGTTGGAGTTCTAATATCCTTCCCCCCCCCGTACTTATTGTGACTACTGAAAAGAAGCTCTTTTTTCCTCAGAGTTCACTTCTGTCTGTTACAGCATCTCATATGAGCATCTCTCTGCTTTGAGTATGGCTTTGGGGTGCCCATACTTTTCTGAGCTGAAGAAAGAGCAACATGTAACAGATTTTTCTCCTGAATTTTTAAAGAACTGTGTAAGAAAGTAATGGGCCAGCGTTCATCAGCCTCATTATAATGTAGCATCTCAATGATCATCTAGTCCCACTGCCTGACCATGTGAGTGACCCCTCTCTAGGAAGCCTATTCTAGGGTTTGACCAGTGGTTGCAGATGGCAGGCCACCAGTGAATGACATCAGCATAATTAGACTGTCCTGAAATGTTTCTCTGTCATGATCTTTCCTGCATGTCACCTTTTCTAAGATGTTCTTCTTATAAGAAAAATCACTGGAAGGAAAGTGACATTGGTTAGAGAATGCCCCAGTACAAACAGAAACAAGAATCATACTGTCATCTGCTGTCCTCCTTCCTGCAGTCTGTATATGATAACTTTGTAAGTCTCTCACTGTTTGTACTTGTTTGGTTAAAAAAAATGTGTTTAGTATCAGGCCTATTTGTTGCATATTGGGAACGACTACATGAATAAATGGCATTCCTTCCTTTCTGCAGTTGGATTAAAATGAAGTTCACAACATGGTCATTTGAGCAACTCTCAATGATTAATCTTTCATGGACTAAAAAGCTTTCTGGAATAGAGAAAGTAGGGAGGGAAGCCAGAGAAACCATTTTAAGGAAGAATTTAAGGCTTTTTTTAATACCTTCCTCTTTGAGTAGCAGAACATCAGATTCTTAGGACATTACAGTTCCTTCCCAGGTGAGAGGAAGATCATATCTAACGTCTAGGACATTAACTTCCAGTTTTCTCCTGTACCCTGTAATTGCTGACACTCCTTGTACTTGACTGCTGCCATTGCTTGCTGATCACGCAGCTCTTCCTGTTTCTCTGGCTCCTTTCCCCTTGCCCTCTGCCAGTAGCTCTTCTGCAGGGGGGACTGAGTGGAAACTATATCACTAGGGCCATATTTGTTCCCAGTGCAAAATTCCACTTGGGCAGCTGTAGACTTTTCAATCTAAAAGCACGCTTGCAGGTTTGAGGGAAATTTTCATTATTACTGGAGATACAGCATTGTTTGTCTCTTATCCTCAGGCATACTGACCAAACTTTAACACACAAGCATACAGGTGAATGAAGCACATTTAAAAAGTAATTATTTTGGTTAAACATCAAGTTGAAGTAATTTCATTATTTTATTTCTAGATTCTGTTCAAGATGCATACTCATAAAAGCATTTTTCATAGCAACTGAGTTGGGGCAAACTTGCCCTAGTGCAGATGTACCTCAGTTTTTTGTATATCTACCCTACTTGGCAGTATATTTCACTTTTGATTGAGGCCAAATACTTTTTTTTTCCTCCTGTTTGTCTTTTACCAGTATAACTGCATTTGTATGAAAATGTTTGGCAGCATTGTTGTGTGGCATATAATTGTAGCAGCTTTATACTCCTAGCCAGCACAAGTGCTTTAGTTAAAATTTTGGCTTGTATACTAGCTGTTTGCCTATATATGTATATAATTGGAAGTAGGTGGTTTGCTTATTCATTGTTTATCCAAGTAAGGATATTTCCATGATCTGGTGACAAAAGAGGAAATAAATTTTCTGAAAGGGATATTGGATGTTTCAGCACTTGATTGCTTTTTCTGTCCTTTAGAGAGAAAATTATAATAAAATCTTATTTTGGCTTTGCTTTGAAACATTTTTCTGTCCTGTATTCTGTCTTGTTTATATGCAGCTTTTCATTAGCCAAAATGTGTTGCCTTTTAATTTTTACAAATATCTTGAAATTTATGTACTTCAACAGGATTTCAGTATTTTACAATATTAAATTGTAGAAATGTTCATAACGTATTGTTTAATTGCTATTGTGATCCTCAAATTATAAAGGTAAAAATATTTCTACATGAAAAAATTACCATTTTGTAAATATTAATTTCTATTTTTTAATTAGCTTGCCTTAAGAGGGAGCAGTAAAGGTATCAATGTCAGCACAATGGTCTTTTTGGGTTTCAGCTACTTACAATTTGCATAATATTGGATAATCCAACCTGTATACTTTTTTCATTATTTGTTGGTTTTGATGCCATGCCTAGGAGGATCTCATTCTTACTAAAGAGACAGGCTAACTGTCTCAGGTTTTATGAAATATTTTGCCTGTGGGATTCTGTGTACAAGTGAAGATCTGTCTCCATGAGATGAAAAATATTACTTAAAATAATCATAGAATCATTAAGCTTATCTGAAAATGCTGCCAGTAGCTTTTCAATGCTATGGCTGGTTTTTGTTGAATGAAATTTGTTCATAAAAGAGACGCCATATTACTCTGGAAAGAAATGTGTATATGAAAGCCTGAGTGTATAGTGTCAACATTCTCATCTCGATCTCAAGTGGTTTTGCAATGTTGAGTCTTTCAGCCATTAAGAGATTGGCATTTTGTGTCTAGGAGTTTATACTATGTCCTTTTTATATCTTTGCTTTTCAGTGTCCTGCAAAAAGTAAGAGCAGGAAGACTACTGGATGGTGGCTGAGCACTGAACTTTATTATGTGTTGCTTAACATTACAAGTCAGTTTAAGGAGGAAAGGTTTTGATACTTAAGACATTACCTGTACTATAGCATTTTGGAAAAGTACAAAAGCAAAATAATGATCTGTGTGAATCATGCATGGAACACCTTAACTAAGACAAATATGAAAAATAATTACCTGGATGTCATACCAGAATAGAAGTTTTGTATCTTAAATTACATCATTATGGCTTATTTCTACAGATAAGGAACATAACAGATCCCAGTAGGTAAAAGTAACAGAATTGCTTCTTGCTGCTGCTCTTGTATTTCTATGTATAGTAAACTGCAACAAAGCCAGAGAAACATAGATGTGACATGGTGATGCACTGATCCATGGACAGGCAGCTTTCAAACATGTGATCCATGGCACTCTCGCTACCCTTGGACACTGCTTTACAGAGAAGGCAATTTTCTGCCCTAAAACTCAGATGTTACAACAAGAGCATTTCTGGGGACTTGAGTAGCTATTTGGATTGCAGTATAGTTGAGTTTGCTGCAAAGATAAAAAACACTACCTGTTTCTTTTGTAGAAGTGATAGTGAGAACCTGGTATATGAAGAACACAGTAGCAAACTTTAACAAGTTAGAAAGATTTTTAGTGGCTTGTATGCTGCAGCTGAGGAACTAAGGATGCATTAATAGTTTACTGGGCTATGATAATTATTGTAAACAAGGTGATGCAGTAGGTTTTCTACATTACTTACTCTTACGCAGAATGCTCAGAAACTAAACTAAAGCAGGATTCTCCATTTAAGTCATTGCATCTTAGGGGTAACAACTGTTGTTTTTACAATAATCATTGTCACTCAGCCTCCCTAAAAAGGCTCCCAGAGTATTACATACCTTAGAAGTTAATTTCAGGATTGTGGGGTTAATTTCTTTTAATATTTCACTCCATTTTCTGTGTAGGGTTTTATTTTTGTGGTGTGAGTTGGGTTTTTTTTGTAATAAATGACTTCCATTTAATTAAAGAGTGGATAGGCAAGATCCGACACTCACCATTTATTTCCATCTCTACAAATTGCTCTGACTGAGGAAGGGCTTACAGTCTAGAGGTTGCATTGTTTAAGAGTTCATGTACGTCCAGCATGCCAGAACTGAATGCACTGTAATTAGTCTCACACATCAAAGCCTTTCAGAATACCCAGATAGGTGAAAAACACATACATAAAAAGGGTAACACACACACACTTTTGCGTAACACTCATATTTTCTGAAATGGTTGCTTTGACTATGAAGAAAAAAACGATACCACACATACAAATGAGTTAATTCAGCTATGCTAAACCACTGTTAATCACTGTTTTTTGTGCTGGTCATATTTAATAAACAAGGCCAGGAGTCCTTTTGATGGGCTGTCTTTTCCTCTGTACCTCTGATATACCATCTTCTGTGCTGAATCCTCAGGCACTGAGGCATATAAAGGAGGCATGTTCACAAAAGGCATAGTGTTAACTAAGACAGCATTTATTCTCTAGAAGATAAACTGCTGTATTTTATTGTGAATTCATACATAATTTGATAGCTGTGCATTCTAAAGAAGAAACATGAATAGCTAGCAACACATCTTCACTGTTTAATACTTTTGTCTTTGATAATGAAAGGTATTTTTATATTAGTGCAGTTTTACATTTTTATTGCATTATAAAAGCAAATGAAGCAAGGGTGTTGAAAACGTAAAATCCTGCTATGAAAAGATCAGAAGGCTTGGTTTTGCATTTTTTTAAAACA